AAGAAGAAGGAGGAGGAGGAGGAGGAGAAGAAGAAGAAAAAGAAGAAGAAGAAGAAGAAGAAGAAGAAGAAGAAGAAGAAGAAGGAGGAAGGAAGAAGAGGAGGAGGAGGAAGAAGAAGAAAGAAGAAGAAGAAGAAGAAGAAAGAAGAAGAAGAAGAAGAAGAAGAAGAAGAAGAAGAAGAAGAAGAAGAAGAAGAAGAAGAAGAAGAAGAAGAAGAAGAAGAAGAAGAAGAAGAAGAAGAAGAAGAAGAAGAAAACTCTTGTTGACGTATGTGGTATACAGTGCTTTACCTATATTTTCAGATCAGTCGGTACACGGTAGGTAATGTGGTCAACATCAAGCAATTTGCCTTTACTTCCCACGGCTTTACCTGCTATCCATTTAAGACTGGGTCGACATGAGAGCCAGGGTCATTTTTGAAAATGTATACACTGGATGGAGTTTAAAAGTTGACATTGGCTCCCAGATCAACACAGTCTAAAAATAGGTACAAACAAAGCGGACATAACATCTTTATGGGCCCCTGGGCAAACAAGGTGTTGTGGTCCCTTCGATAATAACTCACAGGAATGACAATTTTTGTTTATTGCAAGTCACTTGACATACACAGGATAGAATGCTAGTCAGGCCCCTGGGAAAGCACCCGGCCGGTCCAGGCGTTAGACGGCGCTGGGTGCAAGGAAATGTTATTGGAAGTAAAGACGGTCACTGAGATTGTTATCTTTTTATCTACTGAGCGCTCACTGGTGTATGAATAAGTGTGAGTCTAGCCCCATTCGCCTGACGCCCCTCAGAAGTGAAAGGGCCCTTCACTTGTTTACTTTTGAGCCATCATTTTTGGCAAAACATCAGATACATTCCTCGAAATGTATCAGAAGTTATGTTGTCAAAATCAAGTTGTCTTGATGTCTTTTTAGAATTTACAGCATACTGACCACTTTCAGCAGACGTAAAAATACTTTTCTTTTCAACTTTTGTGATCTCGCTTTTCTCACACATATAGAGAGTTTACCATTTCATCGACCAATTATCTTTTCATTGTATCCGTTTTTTAAAATTATTATTTAAGATTGTATTCATTTTCATTGTTTAGAACTCCATGTCCCTCTACCGCGTCCTTTTCTCACTCAGACCTCCATGTCCTCTACCATGTCCTCTACCATGTCCTCTACTTAGTACTCCATGTCCTCTACCATGTCCTACTACCATGTCCTCTACCATGTCCTCTACTAAGTACTCCATGTCCTCTACCATGTCCTCTACTTGAAAGTCCGTGTCCAGTACCACGCCTTATACCATGTCCTCAGAACCCCATGTCCTCTACCATGTCCTTCTGTATTCATAAAACAATGCCCACTACCATGTCCTCTACTCAGAACTCAATGACCTCTACTGCGTCCTCTTTTCACTCAGAACTCCACGTACTCTACCATGTCCTCGTCCTCTTCTCACTCAGAACTCCACGTACTCTACCATGTCCTCGTCCTCTTCTCACTTAGAACTCCACGTACTCTACCATATCCTCCCCTACTCAGAACTCCATGACCTCTACTGCGTACTCTTCTCACTCAGAACTCCACGTACTCTACCATGTCCTCTTCCTCTTCTCACCCAGAACTCCACGTACTCTACCATGTCCTCGTCCTCTTCTCACTCAGAACTCCACGTACTCTACCATGTCCTCGTCCTCTTCTCACTCAGAACTCCACGTACTCTACCATGTCCTCGTCCTCTTCTCACTCAGAACTCCACGTACTCTACCATGTCCTCGTCCTCTTCTCACTCAGAACTCCACGTACTCTACCATGTCCTCGTCCTCTTCTCACTCAGAACTCCACGTACTCTACCATGTCCTCCCCTACTCAGAACTAAACGTTCTCTACTGAGAACTCCATTATCCCCACCATGTTCTGTACTCAGAACTCAGTATCATCTACCAAAGCTCTGCTGATTGGTGATGAGAGAATAAATAATTCTCATGACAAATTCCATCTGCATTTCCATTTCACGAAAAATTAACGTGTGGGGATTTTTTGATAATATAGACAAATAATTACTTATTAACTGTATAGTTAACAATTGAATCACGTATATAGAGATTATGGCTTATATTTTTTATAGTGCAAATCGATTATCAAATCTTTGTTATATAAACGTCCGTGCTTGCATTATTTGTGATGTAACTGTAGATGAATTTTGTAAAGAGAATAAATCAATCTCTAGTATAAAATAAATGCGTCGCAGTGGAATGCTCAATCGCTGGACAAAATCATACTACTAGATAGGATCCTGGTGGCCAGAGAAATGCAATGGCCAGAGAAATGCGGTGACTAGAGAAATGCAGTGGATAGAGAATTGCGGTGGCCAGAGAAATGCGGTGACTAGAGAAATGCGGTGATGGAGGGTGTAGTTTTCGGAAAACAATGCAGAGGCCGACCTCCTTAACGAGGATACATGACACTGAAGACACATCGGCTATGACAACGCAGATACATGACACTAAAGACACATCGGCTATGACAACGCAGATACATGACACTAAAGACACATCGGCTATGACAGCGCAGATACATGACACTAAAGACACATCGGCTATGACAGCGCAGATACATGACACTAAAGACACATCGGCTATGACAGCGCAGATACATGATACTAAAGACACATCGGCTATGACAGCGCAGATACATGATACTAAAGACACATCGGCTATGACAGCGCAGATACATGACACTAAAGACACATCGGCTATGACAGCGCAGATACATGACACTAAAGACACATCGGCTATGACAGCGCTAAAGATACATATTTGATACTAAAGACACATCGGCTATGACAACGCAGATACATGACACTAAAGACACATCGGCTATGACAGCGCAGATACATGACACTAAAGACACATCGGCTATGACAGCGCAGATACATCATGACACTAAAGACTATGAAAGTTCATATACCTGACATTGAAGAAGAATTGGCTACGAAAGTTCACATACATGACATTAAAGACGCATTGGCTATGAAAGTTCATATACAGAGACTATGAAACATGACACAAAGAAGCAGGCTATGAAAGCTCATATACATGAAAGGGACACATCGGCTATGACAGCGCAGATACATGATACTAAAGACAGATCGGCTATTAAAGTTCATATACATGACACTGAAGACGCATTGGCTATGAAAGTTCATATACATGACACTGAAAACGCACTAACTATGAAAGCTCATATACATGACACCAAAGACGCATTGGCTATGGCATATATGACAACCTGAAAACGCAAGCTCATATACATACATGACATTGGCTATGATGACACTGAGGCACATTGGCTTATGCATATACATGACACCCAGGACACAACGCACCCAGGACACATTGGCTATGAAACGCTATACATGACACCCAGGACACATTGGCTATGAAAGCTCATATACATGACACTGAGGACACATTGGCTATGAAAGCTCATATACATGACACCCAGGACACATTGGCTATGGCTCATGACAAAGCTCATATACATGACACCCAGGACACATTGGCTGAAACATATACATGACAAGGACGCATTGGCATATACATGACACCCAGGAAAGCTCATATACATGACACTCAGGACACATTGGCTATGAAAGCTCATATACATGACACCCTCAGGACATGTACATGACATGGCATTATGAAAATATACTGACACCCAGGACACACTATGACATGACACCCAGGACACATTGGCTCTGAAAACGCATGTACTCAGGACACATTGGCTATGAAAGCTCATATACATGACACCCAGGACACATTGGCTATGAAAGCTCATATACATGACACCCAGGACACATTGGCTATGAAAACGCATATACATGACACCCAGGACACATTGGCTATGAAAACGCATATACATGACACCCAGGACACATTGGCTATGAAAACTCATATACATGACACCCAGGACACATTGGCTATGAAAGCTCATATACATGACACCCAGGACACATTGGCTATGAAAGCTCTATGAAAACGCATGTACAGACACATTAGAAAGCTCATATACATGACACCCAGGACACATTGGCTATGAAAGCTCATTTACATGACACCCAGGACACATTGGCTATGAAAGCTCATATACATGACACTCAGGACACATTGGCTATGAAAACGCAGAGAGCTGGAGAATTGGTTGGAAAAAGAGACGGCCATGTGTGCTGTGAGAAGAGTGACGTTCTATAAAGAAGCTTATTAATGATGATACAATGAACTATGTGAGAGATGATTTATTTCTTGTTGCTGTATTAATTATGTGATTTTTTTTTTTTCCCACTCCAGTGTTTCTGTTTAAAAAGTTCAAATTAAACTTCAGTGTGTTCTTACCGTAAAGATTCTCAAACAGATTTAGAATCTTCTTCATGTGAAACTCAGTTTTTTTTTTCTAACACCTTTAATCATTTTTCTAGCCATCGTTATTTCAGCAGAATAAATTCGTCAAACAAATGTACATATAAATTATGCCCTAATGAACCACATCATTATTCGTTACGTCCTTTTTAGGACGTAATTTTTTGTTATTTGAAGCCCCACTCTGGCTTTTGCCAGGGGCCGCAATATAGGCAGGCCATAAATATGGCCAATTGTCTGAACGCTGTTTCTGGGACCTCTCCACGGTGATCCTCATCCGCATGGTGACACTTTGTGTCATCGGGTGTTTATCGCTTGTGTGATGTCCTGGTGGGGCAGAAAGTCAGTCAGTCAGTCATGAACCACAGTAGGATAAATGAAGAAGAAAGAAGAAGAGAAACCACTCTATTAAATTCCTACAAAACAAACCACTGGCTGTCTCAGCTTGTAACAATACATTTCAAGTTTCTATTCAAAGTTTTTATTCAGACATATTTCATGTTTAAAAACTAATGTTACATATTATTCAAAAGTTCATTTCAACAATAGTGTGAACAAACATGACTAGACCAAAAGTCAACTTAC